TCATTTATTTGTTAAATGGAAAAGCTCATCAGCTGACCTGTTAAGTGCAAGCAGGGAGTTTATGCCAGTAGTGGTAGAAGTAGTTTTGTTTTGTTTTGTTTTGTTTTGTTTTCATAGAGCACTTACGCTCACTGGAGAGAGGGAAAGTGAGAAATCACCCCAACCCACCTTCCCCTACCCCCTGCTGTGGGAGATGGCCATGCTACAATCCCTTTTCCTCCATCCTGTGCTTGAATTTTGGGCATACATGCACATAGCATGTTTTTCAGTCTGCTGGCTCCAGGACTCGAACTGCAGAGTCAGCCATTTGGGATCCAGTGCCTTAACTACTGTACCACCTGCTGGCCCCAGTAATGTTGGATTTAAAATGAGGTCTAGGGCCCAGCCATAGTGGTGCATGTTGCTAAGATACCTTATTGTGCAATCTGTGGCCATGTGGGAGACCAGGGTTCTATTCCTGGTCCAACCTAAAGTCCTGCCATGATGATGTGTACGTGTAGTCCTAGCAGTTCTAGAGGCTGATGTGAGAGGCTTATTGGAGGGCAACTCAGAGACACCTGTCTAAAAAAGAGCTGAATGTGATTGTGTGCATCTGTAGTCAAAGCTGGGAGGCTGAGGCAAGAAGATCCTGACAAAATGAGAATCTGTCTTTAAAAAACAAAAACAAGGCAAGCCTTATAGCTTAGTGTTAAAGAGAGCTGGATCCCACATGGCTAACTGTGGTTTGAATCCTAGCCTCTGTGGCTTGAAAAACACACTGGACATGTGTATCCAGAATCCCGACAGGATGGAGAAATGGAAAAGAGAGGAGTGCAGCATGACCATGCACCATTAAGAGGTGCTTTCTCCCTTTCTCGATCTAGCTCTCTCTCTCATGCATGCTCTTTCTTTGGCGAGGGCACATGCCCTCTGGCAATTTAAATCAGAAAAATAAAAAGATAGAGAAAATGACAAGTCTAGAAGCCCTTGTCATGCTGCTTTCCTCTCCAGTTCTGATTAGCGATTTACCAACTTTCTGTGGATGGAGTCTTTTGTTCTCCCTCACAGTGAGAAGTGCAGTTTATACCAGCAGATAGGAAAAGAGCTGAGGGTATGAGGGTACTGGGGGTATGGCCACAGCTGTTGGCTCTCTGCCCATGTACATCCTGTCTATCTCTGCAGTTCTCCGTTTTACTCTAAGTTCCTAAGGCACCTTCTTGGGACAGCTATTTTTTTTCTTTTCACAAATTTTGCGATAACAGGGGCTAGCAGGCGGCATGGTGGGTGAGGTGCTAGACTCCCAAATGGCCAGCCATGATTTGACTTCTGGATCTGGCAGCTTGCTTTCTCACTTTCCGTTTCTTTCTCTGGTCAAATTTTAAAAAATAGAAATAACAAAAAATAAGTACTTAAAAAAATAAATACTTTAAAAAAAAATCTTGCTGTAGGGCATGTGAGAGACAGAGGGAGAGGAAGAGAGAGAAATGAAAAGTGAGGAAGTTCCTGCCCCTAGGGAGATGACCACACCACATTCCCTTCTTCTCCATTTTTTTCTTGGGATTTTGGGCATTGGACACAAGCAGCACAGCCAGCCATGTGGGATCCAGCCACCTTAGCCACTGTGCCACCTAGCTGGCCCTCCGGGACATCTTTAAAATCCTCAGCCTTGTTCCTCAAGTCTTCCATTTAGCAGGTAAAGGAGGTGACATAGTTGAAAGAGAGGGTCATGGATCTTACCTCCATCACTTGAGGTCTGTGTTTTTAATAGGGTAGCTACTCTTAGAAGCTCAATTTTCCTGTCTGTAGGGGGAAGTGCTAATTCCTCAGGGTACTGTTTAAGATATAAATAAGGAAAGAAAATGACTGTGAGCTGTTTTTCTTAAGCTAGAACAGCAGGGTGAATATTGAGTTATTTTTCTTAATTTCACTTGTAGATTCTCAGTGTTGTTTTCACGTGTTCTTTCATAAACATTTCTTCCCCCCAGGTAAAAATGCTGGAGAGCTTCTAAATCAGGACTAGAGCTTTACAAGCACATTTTATGTAGAGATAATCCATCTGCTTTAGTTATGTCGCGTCTGGCTGCTCTACCTAAAACAACCACCACCACACCTCCTGTATGTGCTAATTGTCATTTTGACTTGTTGGCACAGGTGTGATTTCTCAGAACAGCGTAGGACTTCGCATGTCTGGCCCATTCATGTGTGGTACAAGTGAAGCCAGCACGGGAGCGAGCGTGTTGGGCTGGGTGTGCCTGGGCATTTGTACCCAGCAATTTCTAGTGCCGAAGTGATCAGAGAAAATGTGTGGCTTGTCCCTTAACTCAGTTTTCTCATTCAGTAACCATTCATTGACATCCGTGCCCTTAATCTGGAGTTCCTAGAAGTCTCAAAATTCTGTAAAGTATGTTATGGGCACTGTGACAGACTATGAATAGCATCCTCTGGAAGTACTGGTTCACCCACAGTCTTTGTGAACCATATGTGGCAGACCTGCTGTCACCCTGAAAAAAATGAGAAGCCACTGACCTGTCTTGTTTCAAGTACTGGGTTTATAGAGGGATTCATAATCTGATGATGGAGGTAGCTGCTAGGGAATAATTCTTAATTACCTGGTACAGAGTGGGTACTAAATAAGCTGTTGAATATGGTTGAGTGGATACGTTAAGGTGTCTGAAAGAAGCTTGATGAGTGAAAGATTATCAGCAAAGGCCCAGGGAGAGGCTGCATTTGATCAGAAACAGGAATATGATCCGAGAGGCCAAGGGCATTGTTGGTGGAGGTACAAGCATGAGTGGAGCATGGCAGACTAAGGAAAGCCCTAGGAGGTCTAGAACATCTGTCCTCTGGATCCTTGGGGTGCCCTGTCTTCCCACATAGTGCCCTTCACACTGTGCTCTAAAAATCATGACCTGGACTTACTTCTGGAGTAATTTCTTCCTGCTATCCTGCCATTTTGGGGACCATTTGAGTATGTGGATTGAGTGAAAGAGGGTGTCTCTTTTATTTTGTCAAGGGAGTTTGGTTCTTGCTGCTTGTTTTTGAGCTGATTGTGTTCAGGGCCACATTTTAACTAGACATGAGTACTTCTTGCATCCTTCCCCTTCGTGTATGTCAACACTTTACTGATGAAAACATTTGCTTTGTGTAACGTGCTTTCCAGAAAGCAATTACTGCTTCTAAATGAATCCTACCATCTCACTGTCTCAGAGGTGACACAGGCTAGCAAATCTAATTGCTCTTTTTCTCTCTTTCAGAACTCTTCCTCCAGCTGGAAGTAAGTACCATGGATCTTGGTTTGTAGGCTTTTTCTTAAAGCTTGTGGGCTCTTTTTCTGAAGAGGTTTTTGCAATAGGGCAAATGCTCTAGCCAGAGAGAGACACAGAGAGACAGAAAGCGAGAAATCACCCCCGAAGGGGGATGGCCATGCCACAGTCCCTTCTCCATTCTCCTCTCCAGATCATGGCCACGCACACACATGGGCCCAGCGTGAGTTTAAGCCACTAGGTCCAGGAAGCAAACCGCAGGCCTCTATGTGGGAGTCCAGCAACATAGCTATTACGCCAACTGCTGGTCCCAAAGCTTGTGGGTTCTTTCTGGAGTCTTGTTCTTCCAATCCAGTGGCCTTTCCTTCTATGGTCAGATAGAAAGTTTGGAAGCCTTCATGGTTCCGTTTGACTAAAGGGCATTTGGTCTCTGTTCTGACATTTTATCTCCATTTGTTGGTTGAGCAGCCTCTGCTTATCACAGGGGATTAAGGGATACTCATCCCTCACTGCTTTCTTGCTTTTTATCTCACATTAAAGCCATTTGTGTGAATTATAATGGCCTAATAATGTGTTATTGGACCTTGGAGCAGCCCAATCTCTGAATTGGCTCAGCAGTTCTGTTTTACAGCTGAAACTCTCTGGACCAGGCAAGGCAGATTTTTTAATATTTCTTTTATTCTGCATACTCCTTATGGCTGCTTCTTTGTCAACGTCAGTGCTGTATACAGAGATGAAGGCCTGAGCCAGAGGGCCCAGGTGTTCACCAGAGAAAGAGGGAGTGAAGGAGAAAACCCTTCTCTCCCCATCATCACAGTGGTTTGTGGTCACACTGCAGTTCCTTCTTTTCTGCCTCTACATCTTGTTAGAATTTTGGGCACACATGCATGTATGTGCCCAGTGTGTTTTTGAGGCCTGTGGGGATGGGATTCTGTCCTTGGTTAACCACTAGGTTATGGTGCTATCTCTGGGGCCTGAATCTTGAGTGACATACTGTTCCAGGGTGACTAGTGTGTGTGATGTGGGAGTACTTTTTGGGAAAGTCATGGTTTATCAGAGTCACATTATTAGGAATCATGCAATATGAAGTGAGTTCAACACACAGTCACTCATAGCCTAAAGGATCATGCTGTCCACACCCACAGCCCTCCATAAACCCCCTTGTTCATCATTTAACACAGTGGTGAGGTTTTAAAATTGGACACTTAGACAGTTTTTGTTAGTTTAATTTCATTGTTTGAGTATTTCAGGGTTCAGGCACCTAATAAGTGACCATCTTTAGTTTTTTCTTAACATAAGTATCAAAAGTAATTGTAGTGGGGCTGGCAGGAGGTGTGGTAAGTCCGCTGGACTCCCACATGACCGACCGTGATTTGAATCCTGGACCTGGAAGCTTGCTTTCTCACTTTCCCTCTCTCTCTGGTCAAACTAAAATAAAAAAAAAATACAATTAAATAAAATAATATTTTAAGAGTTATTTTATTTAACTTTATTTATTCATATATTTATTTTAATTTGACCAGAGAGGGACAGAGTGAGATAGAGGGAGAGTGAGAAGGCAAGCCGCCAGGTCCAGGACTCAAAACCATGGTTGGTCATGTGGGAGTCCAGTACCCTTAACCTCCATGCCACCTGTTGGCCACAATAAAATAATTCTTTTAAAAAAATAATTGTAGCTCATACCATCTGGCCTCAAAATATTGTAATTTTGGATATAGATGTTTCATCTTGAATGTTCTATTTTTCCTTGAAATTGTGTTTTTTTTTTTTTTTAAGAATTATTTTATTTAACTTTATTTATTTTAATTTGGCCAGAGAGGGACAGAGAGAGAAAGAAAGTGAGAAAGCAAGCTGTCAGGTCCAGGACTTGAACTGCAGTCGGCCACGTAGGAGTCCAGCACACTTAATCACGGTACCACCTGCTGGCCGCTGAAATTATGTTCTTTTTTGTTTTTTTTTTTGGAGATGTTTTTGCTATAGGACGCGTGCGCTCGCCAGACAGACAAGAGAAAGACAGAGAGACAGAGAGTGAGAAATCACCCCCCAGGGGGGATGGTCATGCCGCAGTCCCTTCTCCATTCTCCTCTCGGGATCTTGGGCATGCACGCACACATGCCCGGCATGAGTTTTGAGCCCAGGGGCCAGGACTCAAACCGCGATCGACTACATGGGAGTCCAGCGACATAGCCATTACGCTAACTGCTGGTCCCTGAAATTATGTTCTTAAAAGGGACTATGTGCTGTCTTTGAGAAACTTATGTTCTATTTTAACATAAAAGTCATAAAATAAGACATGGGAAAAAAAAGTAGGAAATGCAGTGTACTTTCAAAAATAAGACAGAATCATGTGGTTCGACTCTATGCATTCATTGGAAAATTTGCTCCCAGCTACCCTGTTTCTATGTGAATATACCTAGTAAAGGTATTGGGTTATCAGAAAAGTCATGACACATTTTTGCAGAGAAAATATACGTCATGACTTTTCTGACAACCCAGTATTTTCTTCGCTTTTGAGGATAGTGCTGCACTCTGAGTAGGAGCCCTCCCTTCCACCGCCATGTACCCCTAGCCTCTGTTTCTCTTTTGCTCAGACTGAACAAGTGGAAAGAAATTACATTAAAGAAAAGAAGGCAGCAGTGAAAGAATTTGAAGACAAGAAGGTTGAGTTGAAAGAGAACCTGATTGCTGAGTTAGAAGAAAAGAAGAAAATGATTGAAAATGAGAAGCTAACAATGGAACTGACTGGAGGTATGAAAGCTCTATGAGCAGGGTGGGGGAACCCTGCAGGGAGCCCTGGATGGTGCCTCTCTTATTCCTCTGGTCTTGAGAGCAGACAAGGTGAAAGAAGGGTGGGCTTTGACATCATAGATCAGTGTTGCAGCTTCACCATGTATTGCCTGTGTGGCCTTAGTCAACTTGCTAACTTCTCTGTTTGCCCCTCCGAAATGGGGCAGTCATACCCTATCTGAAAGGATTGTGTTTAGAAATATGAGTGCTGGCCAGGCATGTGTGCATGCATGTTCAAAATCCTGAGAGGAGAATGTGGGGGAGGAGATTGCTGCATGGCCATCCCCCTGGAGGGGTGATTTCTTGCTTTCTGTCTTTCTCTCTCTTTAAAAAAGATAAGATTAAAAAAAAAAAATCAACTGACTAGAAGTATGAGTGCCACAAACAGTGGCTGGTGCACAATAGGTGTTCAGTAAATGGTAGCCTTTAATAGGAATTGCAGTAAATAACATAAATTCACTTTATTCCTGAGTTAGCTGCCATTGTGTCTAGGTTAGGTTCCTGAATGATCCAAGTCCATCTGTGGTGATGAGAATCCCTCTGCTTTGTTATTTTTTCTGTCTGTCTGAATTATAGAGAAGACTTGGTCTTCCTTTGACCTAAATGTGAACACAAAGGCTTTTGGCAATATCATCTGTGCTATTAGATCTTGTCCCCCAGGCATTACTGTGAATATCTCAGAAATAGTTGGTGCAGTTCCAACAGTATAGCTAAACTGTTTTCTAGTAGAGGTAGTAGTTATGTAAGACTCAGCCTGTCCCTCCTTGGCCTTCTAGGATTTGCTAATTAACATACGGGAACTCAGCAGGTTGTAAGCAGGTTTAAGGGAAAGGCAATATGGGCCAACTCCTCTGTTGCCATATGTAGACTGATACATCCTAGATGAAGACAGAGTGGGAATTGGCTTGAACTAGTTACTTTGAACTTGGCAAACGGTACAGGGCAAGTCAGCCCTAAATTTGCCACTTGGATTTGTAGGTGGTGTGCCCTTCTGCACCACCCCCAAATTTAACTTTTACAATTATGTTCAGAAGGTACTGGAGCTCTGGGTTGTCTGAATATAATGAATTCCTATAGGAAGGGCAGTGTGTTGTGCGAGTCCTTGGGCCTGACTTTGAAACTAACAGTAATCTGTTAAGGTCTGTGTTTGCCCTGTATATTTCTGGTGCCGTGAACCAACGTGGCCCTCCGATTGATCTAGACTCTTAGGATCTGTGATAGACCGAATGTGGTTGCGTCTAAAGTGGGGTCTGACTCTTGAAAAATCTCTCCCCTGATAATTGTCTCATTGAAAGACTTGGCTAAGGAAGTGAGTTTCTTGACGGCCTCTAAAAGCAGCTCAGAATTGTGTGTGTGTGTGTGTGTGTAGGGGGGGAGGGGAATGGATACTAAAATAGCATCTTCAGAGAGTATTGTCTTGTTCTTGTAGAGGTGCTTTTTGAATTAGACTAACAGCACTGTGCTGCCTTGTCTGGAACCAGCTTGCCTGCCTGTTTTCTGACCCGCACGCCATTTCCTCGATAGCAGCTGGGCCTGGCATGAATGCCTCATCGCTCTCTGCTAGAGCCACCAGATGTTCGGGACCCTTCATTAGGCTAGTGGGAAATATTGTCAGTTGATAGCTGCTCCCTTTCCATCTGCAGGGAAGGGGATCATCACCTTACCTGTGATTTGGCATCCTAATTATTGACAAGCAGTGGACATTGTTTGGCCAGGCAGTTTTATAGCCAGAATCTTAACTGGGACAGGAGTCATCCTCAGTGACTCAAGGCTGAGCCTGCCAGGGCAGAAAAGACAAATCAATCCAGGGAAATCATTTGTAATGTAATAAAAGAGGTTACAGAAGTGTTTAAAGCTATCTATGGGCATTAAAGGTACCAATGTCCTTCCTCAAGCTATTTGGTACCCTTGGTATGGAAAGCACTGCCAAGGTAATGATAATGTGTCGAAAGAGAAGGCACTGGAGCTAGAAGGATAATTAGCGTTTCCACAGATGGTGCTGCTATGGTGTTGGATTAAAGGCCTGATTTCATTCCTCTAATTGAGTGACTTATTTCATCTTTGTGGATTGGTGCCCAATAGCAACGTTGCCCAGTTCTGGCCAGAAAAGGTACTTCTTAGAATCTCTTCTGGTTCAATATGAACTTGTCTTTTAAAGCAAAGTAGATAAGAGGTTGATGAGAAGCTTAGTCCAAATAACCCATTAGTAACAGGTGTATCTGGATATCTACTCTGTCCAAATAGGACCTAAAGCATTTTCAGATCGCCACAAGGATTAGCAGGAGTACTCTTCACCCAGACCTCTTGTGGAGAACTTTTGAAAACTAGGTTGTACAGGCAGAAAGGTGTTCTGTAGGTAAAGAATCTTAGGATGAGTACAGGCCAGTGCTTCCCCCGCTTTATGTGTGGGAACCTGGGAGTCCTGATGAAATGCCTCTCTGTTCAGAGGGCCTGGGAAGGAGGCTGAGATCCTGTATGTCTAACCACTTCCAGGGGTTGGGTAGTGAGGTTATTGAGGTTATGTTGGGTCGTTGGAAAAGTCATGACATGTTTTTCTATGCAAAATTGTGTCATGTTTTTCCAGTGGACCCGTAGGTAGAATTACCTGAGTGTGTCTGTTCTCTGAAGATGAGGAAGGATTATAAATACCTCAGATATTCAATGAGAACATAATCTTAAAAAGCCACTTTACTATTTTTGCTTTCATTTTGTCTATAGAGCAGCCACCTTCTCTTTATTTCCAGCAGCCCAAATAATTGCCACTTCATTTTCTTTTATAAGGTCTTGCTCACTTAGGGCATCTTCTAACCTACAGGCCCCTATGGAAGCTACTCAGGACCTCAGTAGAGCCTGAATTTCTTTCAGAAAATGCTGGATTCATAGCTGGTGCTACGAGTCATTATAATCTCAAAATAGAAGTTTTATATCCAAGCTAGGCATTACACAAAAATATTACCACTACCTCTGTAGTCCAGTGGGCCTAGGGCAAGTCCTGGCCTTGCCACCCACTTAGTTTTGAGATGGAGTTTACTATTTGGCAAGGAGGAAAGTGGTGGTGTCCGCTATGAAGAGTTGTTGTGAAGAGGTGAGCTGATGCCTGGCTGGAGCACAGAGCAAACACTCAGAAATCAGGAGTTGTAATCTCATTTGGTTCCTGTAGCTTCCTTTGATGTGGGTGTCATTACCCTGATTTTACTGATGGCAAAGCAGGCTTAGAAAAGTGGAGTCATTTGTTCAAAGTCCTCACTGAGATAGTAGTTAAACTGGAATTTGGCTATGTTCAAGCATGTTCTCTGTCTCTCTTTTTTTTTGGTTTTATTTGGTATATTTAAATTGCTGGAGTGTGCATGTGCTTCCTGGAGAGAGAGAGAAGGAAAGTGAAAAAGCACCCTATCGGGGATGGGCACACCACAGTCTTTTGGGCTTTAGGGTGCACACACACATGCCTGGTGTGTTTTTCAAGCCACTGGGTTGAAGTTGCTTAACTGGCCATGTGGGATCTAGTCACTTCAACCACCAATGCCATGGGTTGGTGTGCAAACATGTTCTCTCTTTTTTTTTTTGGAGAGGTTTTTGCTATAGGGCGCATGCACTCACTGGACAGAGAGAGACAGAGAGACAGAAAACGAGAACCCGCCCCCCGGGGCATGGCCACGCCGCAATCCCTTCTCCTCCATTCTCCTCTTGGGATCTTGGGCACGCACGCACACGCGCACGGCGTGAGTTTTAAGCCACAGGGTCCGGGACTCGAACTGCGGTCGACTACGTGGGAGTCCAGCGACATAGCCATTATGCTAACTGCTGGTCCCTTCTCTCTTTTCTTTTTGTTAAAGAGAGATTTTTGCTATAGAGCACATGCATTCGCTGGAGAGACAGAAAACAAGAAATGACCCCCAGAGGGGATGACCACGCCGTAACTTCTTCTCAGGATTTTGGGCACATATGCAGACGCTCCAGAGTGGTTTTTAAGCTGGCGCGTCTGGGACTTGAACCACGGTCAACTCCATTGGAATCCAGCAATATAACCATTACACCAGCTGCTGGTCCCGCAAGCATGTTCTCTTAACCACTATGTTATATGGGGTATCTATAGATATCATAGATACATGTGGTACTAAGTGATTTACAAATTCAGGCTAGTGGAAAGTCTGTGTCCTCATGTAGCTGATGTTCTGCTAGTTAGAAAACTGACATGACTTCCCCATCTTCCCCAACAGAAGGCAGTGTTGAAATAGAAGGTAAAGATCTGACTAGCTTGTTTTTACTGATTTTTGAAAACTTAAGGTCTGCGTGGTTATATGCCTGTAGGAGCAGAGAGTTTCACATAATGTTTAACATTCCCCAGTGAGTAGGGGACACTGGAAGTCAAGGCAAGGAGAAGAAGGTTCTCACAAATAGCTGGAGAGAGAGAATGAAAGATGACTTGGAGTTTGGGCAGAGTGGGCTTGTCAACCTAAAGCATTCTTTCCTGATGCTGATGTTGTGGGATCTGGCTATTCAGTGTGGTTGAGAGTGCAGAGAGAAGGGCTCATTTACTTTTTTTAAAAAAAGAATTATTTACTCAACATAATTTTTTTCTTTCTAGTTTTGCTATAGGGCACATATGCTCACCAGAGAGAGAGAGAGAGAGAAAGAGAGAGAAAGAGAAGGAAGGAGAGGGAGGGAGGAAAGGAAGCCACCAGGTCTGACACTCAAACTGTAGTTGGCCATGTGGAAGTCCAGCTCCCCAGTCACCATGCCACCTACTGGCCCCTTGTTCACCTTTTAAATACCATCCTTTCATCATGGACAACTTTAGCCTACTCTAATTTGACTTCTAAAAATCTGACCTTGATTTTTACTATCCCTACCCACTGCCATCTATAGTTCCCACTGCATCATTGTGACAGCATTGATGAGCCTGCCAGCCCACTAGAGAGGGGCAAGGAGTGCTGGGCTTAGCTGCGGGCCTTTCCTCTTACCCCATGTTGTACTATCCTGGGTTTGGAGATTATTACCAATCTGGTACAGTGTTTTCTCTGCAGTGCCTTTTCTTTTTGCCACTTATATCCTATTTCTTAATGATGCTCCTTTGAATCACTGCAGCTGATGTTTTTCCCCATACCTGCACAAACATGAGTCTGTTTTAATGTTTAAATTGTTTGTTAAAATGAACCTTTTATTGCACTTCCACACTTTAGGCATATGAGTGGTGGAAGTGAATGAATAGGTCTAGGAAGTGCCAAACAAAAGGCCAACCAGTGAACTGGCAATTGTACGTTAATTACGAATAAGTAATGTTATCAAATTATCTCTCCATAGAGACTGTGTTGTAATGACTCTCTACCCAGCACTGATTCAACCTGCACTCCCATTTCTTAGATGGCAGACCTAATGTTGGTGTGTATTTGTGTGTCCGTATCTATCAGCTTTCGTGGTGTGTAGAGTGGTAGACTTTATACTATTGATAGTTGCATATCCAAGATGATTTGGAGAGAAGTTGTAGACCTAATCTCCTTGCTTCTTGGGTATTTTTCTCTCCCAAGTACTCCCTGAGTCTGTCTGGACTATTTGATGTTCATTAAGATTCTACAAATAGTACTCTCTGAATCAGAGAGGTTTTCTAATTTGATGTTCATTAAGATTCTACAAATAGTACCCCCACTGAAGCCTCTCTGAATCAGAGAGGTTTTCTAGTGTAAGTCAGAAGGAGATGTTTTGTGATTGGTGCACAGAATCTGACAGGAAGACTTGGTTCTTGGCTCAGATGTCTTTCTCAGGCTTGTCCCACTCTGAGGTCTGAGCTTTAGTTCTGGAAATTGGATCAGTTTCCCCAGATTGAGCTCGTTTATTTAGACTCTCCCTGAGCAAACTCGAGAGACTGATTTTATTAACTCAGAGTGTCATGATGTTTCTTACAGTGACAAAAAGGAATTCCAGGCAGGCTTGGACCCCGATAGGCAGGACGTCGCATCCCTTTATGAAAAACCCACCTTAGAAACCAACTAGACAAACCTGGGATTGGAGCAACATGATTTAAGTGGGTAATCTTGCTTGTCGTGTTTGGGCTGTGACTATATGCTCATCTGCCCCTCAGATCCCATCTTCTACACAGGCCAGTAGCCAGGACTGCTCCCTGCTGTCTCTCCTCGATAGTGGTGAAGACGTGCTGAGACGTGCTGATCAATTTAGGGACTTTTCCAAGCACCTTACTTCTGTAGACAGGTTTTGGATAAAATACATTGGGTTAGTGCCATGATCAGGCTAATAAGATGGATTGATTTTTACCACTCCATAGAACAATTCGCTTATGTTTTCTGATTTGCAAGTGAAACAATTATGATTTCCTGAGTGTAAGGCTGTGATCGAACTTAGTTATTCCCAGATCCTCATAGCTATACCTTTACCTGGCTCATTGCCATCATGTATAAAGGGCCTTCGAAAAGTTCATGGAGAATGCATGTTATGAAAATCTATGGATTTTCAAAAACTTTTTGTACCAAAATAAACTCATGCTGTAATTCTGTTCCCCTATGAACTTTTTGAATTCCCCTCCTGTGTGTTGCCCACCATCTCCATGCTCCAGTCTCAGCAGCCTTCAGAGCAGGGCACTCTCAGCGATTCCCCTGGTGGACAGAACATTCTATTCCATAATGTCGCTGGGCTATGTGCTTTTTCTCTGGTGTTCTTGAATGGGATGTGCTCCTTTTACATGTTGTCTTTCAAATTAGGTCTGAATATTGCAGAGCCTCACAGTTGACAGCTGTATTTGATTATGTCACTTCTGTGTAGCTGTTTGTACCTTGATTTTTTTTTTTTTAAATACAATTGCACCTTTGGCTCCTTGCAACTTTTTTTTTTTTGGAGAGGTTTTTGCTATAGGGCATGTGCACTCACCAGAAAGACAGAGACAGAGAGACAGAAAGTGAGAAATCATCCTCTAGGGGGAATGGCCACACCGCAGTCCCTTCTCCTCCATTCTCTTCTTGGGATCTTGGGCATGCAAGCGCATGTGCCTGGTGTGAGTTTAAGCCACCGGGTCCGGGACTTGAACTGTGGTTGACTACATGGGAGTCTAGTGACGTAGCCATTACGTCATCTGCTGGTCCCTTTTCTGTTTTTCTATGCAGAAATGTGCATGACATTTTTGACAACCTAATAGCATGGCCAGGCAGATGGTTGAATGCCCTGAGACACAGGAAAAGTGGCAGCCTTGAGGGGGAAACAAAAAGAAATGAGTTCACGTGGGTGTAGATTGCCATTCTGAAAGTTGGGTTGAGCTGGAGATTCATTAAGATCCAGGCACCGACTGACTAGGTCCCTGAGATCACAAGTATTTAAGGAACAAGCCAACTAAATTGGGTCTTGAGACAAATCAGCAGAGACTTGAACGACTGCAACTGGGGAAGGGGAGATCAGGGATGGAGTTAGCATCAGTGTCAGACTGCAGAGAGAAGTGCAGGAGTTGGAAAAGAGGCTCTATCTCAGGCCAGTAGGTGGTGTGATGGTTAAGACACTGGATTTCCACATGGCCACCTGAGGTGTGAGTCCTGGGCCTGGTGGCTTGCTTCTTGCTCTCTGATGAGTACACATGCCCTATAGCAAACTTAAAAATAATAATAACAATAAATGAAATAAAAAAAAAAACATTTTAAAAAAAAGAAGGAAAGGAATCGGACTTTGTAACTAAAGATTTAATATAAAAATGTTGATATTGAGGCCACTGGGCCTCATCAATAGCTTTTACAACCCCCCCTCCCCCCCTGGGGGGAGCAACAGAACTTAGTCAGCTGAGTTGACCTGAAAGTATCTTCCAATCTCAGAGCCTATCCACTTTGACCTCTTAATCTGTGGGAGAGAAGGCATATTTTCTAATTTTTTGATCCATCCTTCCACTTGCTCTCCCTCCCTTCAGAGAGGCATAGGTGGCCTCAATGGATTCTCACACCCACCTTCTCCTGAAGCCAGGATCATGGGAACACATGCATCTCCTCTCCCCGCCCCTCCCTTATGTACAGATTGATCCAGGAACTGAACCCTGGCCTTCCATTTGGATCTGGCATCGCTGAGTGGTGCACTACTGTGCCACTACGGCTGGGTCATCCCCTAGTTTTTGTGGATGCAGGAGGAATGCCTGCTGTGGCTACAGTATTAGCCTGTAGGGCTCCGTTTCTGGAGGGTCAAGTGCCTAGGTCAGCCGATCTGAATCTTAGAAGCACAGACTTTTTCTTTTTCTTTTTTTTTTTTTTAAGAATTATTTTATTTAACTTTATTTTTTCATCTGATCAGAGAAGGACTGGGAGAGGGTGGGGGGAATGAGAAAGCAAGCCCCAAGGTCTGGGATTTGAATTGTAGTTGGCCATGTGGGAGTCTAGTACCCCTAACCACCATGCCACCTGCTGACCCCCCAAACATAAACTTTTTGCTAAAGTCTGATGGAGGGTATCTGGCTTGGGCCAGGTGTAGACCAAACATCTCTAGTAAGACAGTTCTGATTGGGTGGCTATGGGACAGATATTCTTCCGCGGTAGAAATTCTGACTGACTTCATGGGAATGGTATAGATTCACTTGTTTTATTCTTGCCACAGATTCTATGGAGGTGAAACCCATCATGACCAGAAAATTGCGGAGGCGACCAAACGATCCTGTCCCTATCCCAGACAAGAGGAGAAAACCTGCTCCTGATATCCATTTGCATGAAATTTTTAGCCCCTGCTTTCCCCTAAAAAGACTTGGCTCTTTTGCTTATCCATTTGATAGGGTATGCATGGCCATTGTCCTACAGAAAATAGTACTTATTTGATCAGAAAGCATGTGTATCCAGGGACTGGTTATTGGCCATGTTATTATTGGAGTCCTCGATTATTGCTGTATGTAATGGGAGAGTAGTTATTGAAAATATATTTTGGGCTGAAAGTTCACCCTGATTTTAATAGTTCAGGATTCAGGGAAAACAGAAAACTTGGTGTGATTTCATTTCTGCCTTTATATGCCTCCATTATCTGTGTTCCTAAAATAGTGGATTGCAACATATAAGCAAATGGGATTTCAGTCGGACATAAACAGTTTAGGGCCAGCAGGTGGTCGGAGGTTAAGGCAGCTGGATCCCTCATGGCTGACTTAACAGTTTGAGTTCCAGACCCCATGGCTTAAAAGACACACTAGGCACATATGCATGTGTGCCCCAAACTCCAACAGGAGAATGGAGTAGGAGAAGAGATTGCAGTGTAGCTATCTTCTATGGGGTTGATTTTTTACTCTCTCTCTCTCTTTCCAGTGAGCACAGGCAGCCTTTAACAAAACAAAAATAATTTAAAGGAGCAATTTAGTCATGAAAATAGAGAGGCTACATTGCTTCTAATTCTTTTGAGGAGATAATTAATAGCTATTTGCCCAAAATGGTTTAGTCCTTTTTCTGCTACCTAGAAATGGCATAACTTACAGTTCCCTCATCTTCTTCACAGTGAGAGTTTAAGTTGCTGGAGAACAATTAACCTTCCTTGTGTGTATTGTGGGAGAGGAATTCTTCAGATCTTTGGAACAAAAGCCCTTACAAATTTTGGATGAGATTCTTATTTTACTATTTCCTGTGTTCTCACTGTTATAGATACCTAATGAATTTTATCACCTCTCCCCCTTTTTTTAAGAGAGATTTTTGCAATAGGGTGCGTGTGCTTGCCAGAGAGACAGAGAGAGAGAAAATGAGAAATCCCTCACCCCAAGGAGGATGGCCTTTCTCCTCCATTCTCCTCTTGGAATTTTGGGCATGCACGCTCACACATGAGCCTGGCATGAGTTTGAAGCTTCCAGGTCCAGGACTTGAACTGTAGTTGGCCATGTGGGAGTCCAGCACTTTAACCATTACACCATCTGCCGTACCCCATTCCCCCTTCTTAGTTTGTAAGGTGGAGTATATGTATTCTTTTGTATACTTGGGTACTACGCCATTTAATAAGATAATCAGATTTTTAAGCAAACTAAGTATCATTTAAAATAATAACACTTTTTAAGTTCTGAAGAACTGGGACTATTTTGTTGATTTCTGTTTGTTTGGAAACCATACTTTTTAGATATATTCCTTTAACTTTCAACACCCCAGCTAAACTATTTGTTAACAGATGAACAGATCATGGAGGATCTGAGAACGTTAAATAAGGTATAGTTTGAATTAAAAGCACAGGCTTGACATGATTTTCCACCTTACTTTGTTCACATTTACTCGTTAAGTCATTATGATCCTGTTGACACCCTAAGTTGCATCTGAAATGCTTTTCTCTAAGATTTTTTGTTGTTCTTTCCACAGCTTAAGTCACCCAAGAGACCAGGTAAGTGCATGATATTATTGACATTTGTGCAATCTTTTTATCATATTGTTGGAAAAGCACACTAATACCTGTCAGAGAATTGTTGCAGCTTTCAAAAATAAAATGTCGATCATTATGAAAATATAAGGGGATCTTAAGTGTATTCTTCCTTGATTTTTTTTTTTTTTGTATTGTATAACCTGCTATGTTTTCGTCTTCCTTTGGATTTATTGTAAAACATACATGTAATTGGGTTTCCTTCTGTGTAGGTATCAGGCATAAGATTTAAATATGCAGGTGTTTTTGAAAATGAAGCCAGAAGAATTTTTCAGTATTCCTTGCTTTTTGGAGTTGAGTCCCACCAAGCATTACTGTCCAGTGGCTGTTCATGGTCTGACTCCAGTAAGGTTCTCTCAGGCTGCTCCAACCGTGTTTAGAGAAGAGGCTGCCTCAGTGTTCAGACTTCGTCCTTCCAGAGAGCACCTGAGAGTCCACACCAGGTTGCCAGCTAGAATTCTGAATTGGAAATGAAAATTTTATTTAAAGCACTGTCATTAATCACACATGACTCTACTCACTGAGTCTTGTGGAAGAAAAACAAGATTCTTCTTTCTCTAGATATCGTCCAGAGGGCCACCAGGGTCTACAGAGATGTCCTGAGCTTTCAGGGCATGATGGGGAAGGGGTTATGTGAGTAGATGTGTGGATTTAGATAATTTGAACCCACTGACCATAGTTCTGTTGGGTTGTTGGGAAAGTCAAGATGCATTTTTGTATAGAAAAGCATGTCATGATTTTCCTTATGCCTTAATAGAAGTGACTTGATTTTTCAAAGAGATTTTCTTAGTTCTAGCCCTTTTGGCTTCTGATGGTCACCAGGTTTTGGTAGTTTAAATGATCTTATGCACTTGTGCATTTGACCTTAACATTCCTAAGCCTCAGATTTCTCCTCCATTTGGTGAGGTTATCTGTACCTCACGGGACTGCTTTCAGGATCAAGTTAGAAGTAATATATAAGAAATTTGTTGCATTCCCCTGCTAAGGGCTTGAGGATCATGATTATTACCACATTCTGGTAGTGTTTCAGTTAATGCATGCTAACTAGTGAGCTTACAGTGTTTGTTATTTGCTTAGTTATTTAAGTATCTCTGGTTCCTCCAGCATCTCCATCTTCTCCTGAACATTTGCCTGCCACGCCTGCAGAGTCTCCAGCCCAGAGATTTGAAGCTCGGATAGAAGATGGCAAACTATACTATGACAAAAGATGGTAAGTCATAGGAAAACAAATTACTCCCAAGAGTCTCAAAAGAATCACGTAGAGAGTTGGGACATTTTTTTTTTTTTCTTTGGAGAAGTTTTTGCTATAGGGCATGTGCGCCTGCTAGAAAGACAGAGACAGAAAGTGAAAAGTCACCCCTCAGGGGGATGGCCATACCGCAATCCCTTCTCCTCTTTTCTCCTCTCTGGAACGCACGCACATGCGCCTGGTGTGGGAGTTTAAGCCACCGGGTCCAGGACTCGAACCATGGTTGACTACATGGGAATCCAGCGACATAGCCGTTACGCTAACTGCTGGTCCCTAGAGAATTGAGGCTTTTGATAGCAGTTACTTCAGAGCATGTCTGCTGCTTAACTAACATAGTTCAAACAGTAGAATCCCATTTTAAAAAGTATCAGCAGTCATTGATATTTGCAGCAGCCTTTTCCAGAAACATGTCCTATTGATGGTACGTCTTCCCCCTTCACCCATGCTGCTGTCACTGTATTAGAATCTGTAGACTTATTTCCTTGGTGCCCCTTTTGACTGGGGCCAGGGAGTATGTCCTCACTGCTTCCTCCTAATTCTGTCCTTGTGTGCTAAAGTTAATAGACGTTCTATGGATTAAAGGATTTTATGGTCAAATCCATTTGGGGGGTGATCAAGCTAATTAAGATAAATGGTTTCTTTTTGCCAAATTCCTTGGGCCCTGTGATATGCTAATGTGCACCATGCAGTTCTCAGATTTAGCAGGTGTTTTTTATTTGACAACAGTGCCTTTTACTCATGCATCATCGGGCTACAGAAGTATTCTACTATGGAAAATGTTCTACTTGGGGAAATTGTGTCCTTAAAACATGGCTAGTTTAAATTGAAGACCGTTTGAAAAGTTTAGAATGCCAGCGGTTTTTCATTGTGGAGGAAATGGCAAAACAATATGAAAGAACCTTAAAAGCTCACACATTTATTCTTTCAACAGACATTTATTGTCTGCTAGGAATTAAATCACCCTGATCCTGCCATCTTCTTATAGCTTTTTTAATTCTGATATATTTCTTCCTATTCTTTGTCCTTATGCAGCTTACTCTCATGCTGGTTAAGTCATAGTGGTCAAGTGGTCATGTTCTGTCTTTCTACTCGATTATACTGAGCATTCTTTTTTGGTTTTTAAATAATTTATTTTATTTTTTATTTTTTAAATTTACTGTAGGGCACGTGTGCTCTCCATAGAGTGAGAGAGAGAACACGTGAGAACAAGCCACCAGGTCTGGGGCTTGAACTGTGGTCAGCCTTATGGGAGTGCAGCACCTTAACCACCTCACCATCTGCTGACCCCACTGTATTATATTTATTACTATAATTTCTTTTTCTTTTTTTTTTGAAATTACTGTTTTATACATTCAGTCATTATACATCATTTAGCTTGTAAAGAGAATTTATCCAATATGAAATACACCTCAGACCAGTCCAGTTGAGAATACTATATATGTTATCAACAGGTAGTAAACCATTTCTATGTCCCACAGATGTCTTACTTCTCTATTTTTTCTCCCTATTTTCCTTCCCCTACACTCTTCCCCTCTCCCACTCTCCTTCCACAATGTCTCCAATGTCCATAACTATTTTCATTTCTATTGTTATTGTTCTAATGTTATTGTCATTTCATTTCTATTGTTACTGTTATTTTGAATTTTTTTGAGCTTTCAAAAAACAGGGGACAGCAGATGGCATAATGGTTATGTCACTGAATCCCCATGTAGTTGACTATGATTAGAGTCCCAGGCTTGGTTCCTTAAAATTCACCTCGGGTGCATGTGTGCATGTGCATGTCCAAAATCCCGAAAGGAGAATGGAGGAGAAGGAATTGTGGCATGGTCATTTCCCCTGGGGGATGATTTCTTTTTGTCTCTCTGTCGAGCACACATGCCCCCATAGCAAAAATCTCTCTTAAAAAAAAAATAAAGATAAAAACCAACTTCATGTTAATTGGTTACTTTATAATAATGTTCTTGACAAAAATATTTAGAGATCTAGTCATGCCTAAAGTAAATCATTTCCAGCTCTTAAGTTTCAGTCAGTTAGTTATTCAGCAAATGATGAAGGCTTCCAATTCTTCTGTAACCCTGATCTTAGTGACTTCTATCCCTCCAATTTGGCTCTTCTTTTGCATTCTTTAAAACGGTCAGTATTAAAACACATTACCACTAGGTGGCAGGCCCTAACAGCTCAACATACTGGGGCAAAATAAGATGAAGAATGTTTCTAATAATGAAAACCAAATAACCTTTAAAGATCAAGCCCACACATAAGAACTGTCTTTGAAAATGATGAGATTTATCACTAACATTTTTACGGATCTATGAGTCTTAAAGCCCTGCGATATTTCCAGTGATGTTCATTTTGTAAATGTGTTGCTTTGGATTTTCTTTTTTTGGGGGGCTTAATCCTTAGACTTTATGAGATGTGTCTTGAGGGTGAAAATGCAGTAAAATGAAATTCTTGTTTTTTACAGAAAGAATCCACAGTGAGTCGTGTTTCATATTATGAATGTAGTGGTCAGGTTTGGTTTGTTAGAACCCCCTAAGCATTTTGAAGGGATTTTCACCATTTTCTTACATTAGCAGCAGACATTTAAAAAATACTTTCTCTGGAAGCAGTTTACTTGTTCAGTGAATTTAAAGTTGCTTATTCTGTTGATAAATACACTGTAAGAATGTTTCTTCTGTATTCTGTGCATTTTTCTCCTTTGGCCTTAGCAATCAGAGTTTGTAGTGCATCCTTGAAAGATGGGCCCCTCCCTTTCATGTTGCCAATTGAAAGGTGCTCCTGGACTCTTGGCCCACCTTGCACCCTGCAGAACCAGTCTCACATTTCACCAGGCTCTTAGTGTTTGGCTTTTGTTTTCTTGTCAGTGTGAAGTCTTGCCTTTTCTTTTTTCCCTTTGGCAGGCAGGGCCTGTAGCTAAGAGGTCAACTCAATCACTTTATCTTTCTTTCCAGTGGTGTGGAGTATTTTGGTATAACAGTATTTTTTGGCAAAACACGTTTCATTGAGTTTTAAATAACCAGCAAAACGAATGTGATTCAGACTTCCCATCTTGGTTCGAACACTTATCAAGGTACTTTTCATTTTGAAAGATAAGCATCTTCCATTTGCCTTGGTCTTCTGAGGCGTTTTATATCATGCTGTAAGTTTATCTCACGTTTTGATTTGGACTAATGACCCCTCTCAGAAAATAACTATGAAAGTAGCTGATATTTTAAAATAACTAACTGATGGTACTTGTGGACTGTTTTTTCTTTGCTCACTTTAAATTTGGGGCTGCTAATGTGAATCAAATGAAGTCACCCACTTGCTCAGATGGATTTAACCTGCCAGCCTTCCCTCGACTTAAAACTGAGTATTTTCAACTAGAATTAGGACTTCTTGAGGTCCTACATCTATAGCGAGGGTTCACTTTTTAGAAAATGAAGCATTAGTATCAGGACTCCTAGTGGGATACAGAATTAAATAACTTCTCTCCCCTTCCCCTTCCCCCACTTTTGGATTCACCTTCTAAAAAAATTGCTTTCTTTCAAAATGATAGAGGTAATTCTAGTTCCTTGGGTTTAATAGTAGAGGCAAAAAGCTTTAAGAGCTTAATTGTAGTGATTCCCAGGTCAGAATTTCCATTAGTGATAAAGTAATAAAGTCAATTTGACATTCGCGGCTTATTCTCTAAGGCTATACAAAGTGTTTTTTTCAACAGCTGAGTTGCAGCTTATAAAATGGGTTAATTGGCAAAATAATGCTAGTGTACATTTTATTTTTACTATTGATGTTGCTTTTTCACATTTTTACATATAAATATATTTTGAATTCTTTCTCCCCTTTTAGTATTTAGAAATTGAAAAGTAAACTTGTATGTTGAGATTGTTTCATACTTTGTATTATCTTTTTTTTTTTAAAAGTCAGTCTTGATATATTATTATCCTCCTGCCTCAGCCTCTCAAGAAGCTGGCCCCAGGCCCCTGTGCCTGACTCTTAGGATGGGCTGGGCTTAGAATCTGTCCCTCCCCTGTGAGCTCAGTGTGCTGGCAGCAGTATCTACTAGTGCACACTACTGTGGCCAGACCTGTCATAAAACCAACCTTGGTTTTATCCTGAAAACCCTTCATATAAACATTTAAAATTTTGAGGCTTTTTCTTTTCAGAGAGTTAAAAAATGTAATAGATTTGATAGCTGGGGATAATGATTTCCTAAGGCCATTATGTGGTATGCAAGAGTACCCTGAAGATCCTAGGGACTCTTAGTTCAGAAGGGCACTGGGGGTTGTTGGTTTGGAAGTAAGTTGCTTTGGGAAATTCACTGGTCAGCCCTCCTATGGAATAAATAGAGGCCCTGATGGACATTTAAGGCACCACCATTCAGTGGTTGCAGGGGACATAGACTTGGGAGGTGACTGGATGCCCATGTCCCCGACCACTTCCCAGAAGTAGACCTGATTGTTTTGTATCCTTCTGTTGTTCACTTTTAAGCCAGTCAAATGTGTTCAGATGTGTTTAGAACCCAACTCCTAACAAAGGTATAATATATCTCAGAATTGTTTGAAGAATCTTCCATAGTAACTGTTCTTTCTTTTTTTTTTGGAGAGATTTTCACTGTAGGGCGCGTGCACTCGCCAGACAGACAGGGAGAGACATAGAGACAGAAAGCGAGAAATCACCCCCCAGGGGGGATGGTCATGCCGCAATCCCTTCTCCTCCATTCTCCTCTCGGGATCTTGGGCACGCACGCACATGCGCCCGGCGTGAGTTTTAAGCCACCGGGTCCGGGACACGAACCGTGGTCGACTACGTGGGAGTCCAGCAACATAGCCATTACGCTAACTGCTGGTTCCCCCAGTAACTGTTCTCTTTAACAGACCTTTGCAATATTGTTCTTTTTACCCCATCTTTATTAGATGTTTTCAATACAGTAACTTATAAGAAAATGTTACAGACTTTTTAATTATATGTAATACCTCTTTAGTCTGGGAAATAGAAAACTGTACAATAAAAGGAATATCATTCTTTTTTTTTGGAGAGGTTTTTTTCACTATAGGACGCATGCGCTCACCAGACAGACAGAGAGAGACATAGAGACAGAAAGCAAGAAATCACCCCCCGGGGGGGATGGTCACGCCGCAATCCCTTCTCCTCCATTCTCCTCTCAGGATCTTGGGCACGCACACACGCGCCCGGCGTGAGTTTTAAGCCACCGGGTCCGGGACGCGAACCACGGTCGACTATGTGGGAGTCCAGCGACATAGCCATTACGCTAACTGCTGGTTCCCATCATTCTTCTTTTATATTTTGCATTTTAATAAAATTTTAATATACATGAATATATCCATTTTTCTGTGTGTGTTACACATGTAACACATACATATATTATTATAAGCACAAAAACAGAGTCAAAGTTTTTTCTCCACTTAGCAGTTTATTGAGTGTGTTTCCATAATAGTAGTACATTTCTATACTGTGCCCATGACCTTTCTTTATTAAAGTGTTTACAAGCTAGCGTCAGAATTATTTAGGCTGGTTGCATTTTGTTTTGCGTTTTTAATCACTTTAATAAGTCACAGTCTCCATAGTATAACTGTAAATGTTCTTCTGTATTTTTATTCTAACCATTGCTTAAGACATTGCTATTTAGTAGTTGTTGAGATGCCGGAGAGAAACCAAGGGTAGTGTTAGTGTTGCTCTGACTAATTCAACCTTTCCTCACATGTCATACAATTTGGACCTTATGCTATTACATACTCAAGCATGATGGAGGTCTCCTGACCAGATTCGTCAACTAATATATGACCAAAAGTGACTTTAAAGCTTTGATCTCAACCGGCCTCACTGTTTTAATTGCATTTATGATTTCCTTCCTTCCTTTGTCCCTCTTCTCTCCTTCCTTCCCTCTCTTCCTTGCTTTTCTCCTTCCTTCCTTCCTTGAGTATGTATGCTCACCAGAGAAAGACATTGATAGGGAAAGTGAGAAATCATCTCCCAGGGGGGATACCCACACTGCGATTCCTTCTCCTCCATTCTCCTCTTGGGATTTTGTGCCTGCATGTGTACGCACCCAGGATAATTTTCAGGCTGCCAGGCCCATGACTCAGCCATGATCGGCCATGTGGGGAGTCCAGCGCCTTAACCACTATGTTACCTGCTTGCCCCAATTCGCTTTCTTTTAATAGTATTTTCAGGAAGTAAATTGACTTAGAAGTCTGAGTTTTTCAGCTCCTAAGTAGCTGGTTAAAGAGTTCTTAGAACCTAGATTAGAGAAAGCTCATTATGGGAGTGAAGTACATTCTTTACTTTGATATCTTGGCAGTAGATTATTTCACTATGCTGGCAAAATGGCCTGCCTTTTTCCTCCAGAGAAATAAGATGCAATGCTTTCCTGGGAGATGTGTTTTGGTGGAATTGACATGAGTTTGGATCTAATTAGATAGGTTTGTGAAGCCAGAATGAATCAAAGGTCATAGTCTTCTTTTTAAAGTTTATTTGTTTCATGTGAGAAAGATTGAAACACAAAGAGAAAGGTACCCTCAGCAGGGTCTTCATGCCACAATCCACTCCCAGTCCCAGCAGTCTGAGATAATAGGCACATGTCTGCCATGCTCAGTGAGGTCATGGGACATGAACCTAGAACCTTTCCTGTATGAATCCAGTTGTGTTAACCCTGTGCTACCCACTGGCCCCAAAGCCCATAGGCTTCTTCTTGAATGAACTGGGGCTGGCCCAGGCCAGGGCTGTCAGCAGCCCTGGTATTTCAGCTGGTATTTCCAGTTCTATATTCCAGCAGCTACTCCTCCATTCTATTTTCTCATTTAGGCCTTGGCCCTGGCTCCCTCACATTCATCCGTGGCCTTATCCCTGAACTTCTAAAAGTTGAAGTGACCCTGCTCTGTACTATTTAGGTGGATAGATCAGGGGCTGAAAGGGGAGCATCTGTCTTGCCTCTGTCATTCAGAGGAGCTTTCCTGACTGTCTTGGCCCTATCAGATATCCTCAGGTGTATATCATGACACCAGAATGTCCCCTAATTAGCACTTGCCAGATGTGACTATTTTATGTCCTGCCCTCTCCTCACTCCACCCATCAGGGTCCACCCCACACACACACACACACACACACACACACAACCATATTGGAAGTTTCAGCGGTCTTGGGTTTCCTTGGGAAAGACAGCATCTTTCCCAATCTCCAGCACAGTCAGTTATGCACGGTAAGCACTTAATGAGTGTGTTTGAGGGATGACTAAAGGAAGGACTTAATTCCTTCCTTTCTGTTGATGAGGTATTAGGACAAGCAGAAAATAACAGAATCGTTTAAGCCAGTCTATTCATTTTGGGTACTCATCCTTCGATAGGGTTTTGGGAGTGGGATCAAAAAGTGGAAACAGAGGTCTTTTTAAAATATTTTTTTATAGAGATTTTTGCTATAGGGCACATGTACTTGCCAGAAAAACAGGGAGAGAAAGCGGAAATCATCCCCCTGGGGGATGGCCATGCTGCAGTCCCTTCTCCTCCATTCTGCTCTCAGGATCTTGGGCACACATGCACACGCACCTGGCGTGAGTTTAAGCCACCGTGTCGAGGATTCAAACTGTGGTCAATTACATGGGAGTCCAGCAACATAGCTGTTATGCCCACTGCCAGTCCTGGAAACAGAGGTCTTTACATTTTTTAATTTTCTTTTTATATGTGTAGTTCTCCATCCTATCCTCCATCCACACACACATACATAGGGATGTAGTGTATTTTTCAAGCTTCCAGAACTGGAATTTGAACTATGGTTGGTCATGAGGGTCCAACTTCCTGTACAAAGGGCTAACCCACTGCACTATGGGGTCAACTCTTAATTGACTTTTTGAACTGGACCATATAGTGCAAATAAAGTAGTGAAATACAGTTTGCTAACCCTTTCCTCAGCTCTTCTCTTCCCCTGAAGAGGGACCAAAGAATGTAAGTTTTCGATTCATAAGATTAGCAGGGAGAGAAGCCTTTAAATTAAACTTTTCCTAATCCAGATTCTTAACTAAATATGATCAAGACTTTTTAAATTATATTTTTGGTGTAGAGGTGATTCCTTTTGTTTGTGTGTGTGTGTTTTGTTTTGTTTTGTTTTAAACTTTATCCTGATCTCCCTTTTTAAAATCTGTGCCTCCTTTTTGGCAGGTACCACAAGAGTCAAGCCATCTATCTGGAGTCCAAGGACAACCAGAAACTGAGCTGTGTGATCAGCTCTGTCGGAGCCAATGAGGTAAGGACTGTATTCCCTTGCGCTTAGGAAAGCAAAATGTGCTCTCTGAAGTGTTGAAAATATGACAAACTTGAAATGAAAGTGCTACCATGAAAGTACAATGGAATCATGTCTCATGTGTGTGAGAGTCTGAAGTCAGCACTTTCCGGCAGAAAATGCAGTCAGAGTCACCCTTGAGAATCCCTCACATTTGCTTGACTACAGTTATGTGAATTTGTATATTTTTGGCATTTGTGGACTCCTTCCATATGTAACTGATTTGGGAACCACCAAATACAGGAAAGAACAAAAGACAGGTCTTTGCAATGTCTGCTTTCAAATCCTGCTTCTTCTTAGGACAACCATCTAATGAGAATGGTGTTCATTTGTGGAGCATATTCTTTCTTGTTATTTTCCTAGAACTTGCACATGCACCAGTAGATTTGTTTCTTGTTAGGATTTAATAAGGCATCAGGCACTGGATCTGGCACCTAGTAAGTGCTCAGTAAATGGGTTCTGGCCTGATGCCACCTGCGTGCTGCTCCTTGCCTGTCTTTCCAATCTGATATTACCCTGTTGTGGCTCTGAACAACCAGCTGTCCGGTTCATGCCCTGGGCTTCTGGCCTCAAGACGCTTGAGGATGGGGACAGGTGTTAATGTTAGCTCAGTTATACCTGAAGGTGATTTGACTCCCCCGCATTCTCTAACTGGCCGTTCATTAGAAGCATGCCAGTAACTGGCATTGTTAGTAGGGTTTTTTTATTTTTTTTTTTAAAGCTGAAAAACTTTAATAGCTGGATTGGCTTGATCTTTTATCACTCCACAAATGTCTGCAAAGAAATTGATTTTTATGTGTCTACCCTCTGTAACTTATTCATGCTGATGCACAGTAAATCTAATGAAACTGGATTATGAAATAACTTAAGCCTCTTCTATTCTCCCAGCTTCCTGAATTGAAAATGCCTTGAAATGTGACTAGTTTTCAAAATGATTGTTTACTTAGAAGTTAGGGAGAGTCTTCTAGATAAATGAATGTCATTCTTCTCTGGATTTGGGATCTGTGTGTGTCACCTCAAGCCAAGTCAAAACCAGAGTAGGGGATCTAGTAGAGAGCCTGCTGCTCCTCAGCTAAGAGGCATTGCAGTTTCATGAAGAGCATGTGCACCTGACTGTGTGTTTTCTCCACGAAGCACATATGGCCTTTTAGTACCTAAACCTGACTTCAGAACCAGTGCATTATTATCCTCTGACATCTCAAGATTTTTCAGAAAAATAGAAATGCAAGTTAAATTTTTTTTCTTGCTCTGTCTGTTGAATATTGTCATTTTTTGACATAATAGAGTGTCAGTGAAGACTGACAAGGAAATGGTGACACTGAAACGTGTCTCCTGGAGGGGAGAAGTCTCAGTGTGATGGAGGCAATTCTGGTAACAGGGAGACAGCTTTCATTTCTTGGACGTGTTCCAGCTTTCTCTTCTGATCAAATCCTAAGCGATAACTGAGATGACTTGGCCTTAATATTAACTTGGCTCTGGGCAGGTTTGGTGGGTGGGTCTGAGTAGGTGGGTGACTCCCTGAGTCAACCCTGCTTGGGCTCAGTTTTCAACCTAAATTGGTTCTTCATGGTCTCTTAGAGCTGAGGTTCATGTCAGGTCTTTAACTATTTTATTTTTAAAACGTATTTGATTGAAAAGTTCTGTGTTGCTAAATAATCACATTAAAGAAGTTGAGATGAGGGACCAGCAAGTGGTGTGGTGGTTGGGGTGTTGGACTGCCATATGACTGACCACAGTTCAAGCCCCAGACCTGACAGCTTTCCTTTTCACTTTCTCTGTCTCTGTCTCTCATGAGCATGAGTGCTCGATAGCAGATTTAAAAATAACAATAATAGGGCCAACAGATGGCATAATGGTTATGTCACTGGACTCTCACATGACCAACCACATTTTGAGTCCCAGACCCAGTGGCTTGAAACTCAATGCTGAGCACTTGTATGTGTGCCCAAGATCCCAGGAGGAGAAGGGATTGTGGGGTGGTCACCCCACCCCAGGGAGTGATTTCTTAGTTTCCCTCTCACTGTCTCTTTCTCTTTCTCTTTCCCCAGTGACAGCACGTATCCGAAAGCTAAAACCTCTTAAATAAACAAACAGATAAAAAAATTAAATCTTAAGTTTAGTGAAGCTCCAGAGTCTGTAGTTCTTTAAGAACTCTTTTCTTGAAATAGACTTACAGAATATAGAAATAAATTCATATTCCACAAATGTTAGCACTTCACCACATTTGCTTTATTCTTTTCTCTTTAGATATTATTACTGTATACATATTTTTTTTTCTTAATAATTTTGAGCTAGTTGTAGACATAAGGAACTATTTCTTTAAAAAACTCACTTATATGATTACATTACCAATGTCAGGAAACTAATGTTCATAATATTCTTATCCAACTACAAACCTAGTTCAAATTTTGTTAAAGAAAAAAATTTACTTTGGTCCACAAGTTAATCCAAGATCTCTTGTATAGAGCCTGTGTTCTACTTGTTAGCTAAGTGACCAGGCAAGTTAAGTTTTTGTTTTTTTTTTTTTTTAAGAGAGGTTTTCACTACAGGGTGCGTGTGCTCGCCAGACAGACAGACAGACAGAGACATAGAGTCAGAAAGCGAGAAATCACCCCCCAGGGGGGGATGGCCACACCGCAATCCCTTCTCCTCCATTCTCCTCTTGGGATCTTGGGCACGCACGCACTCGCGCCCGGCGTGAGTTTTAAGCCACCAGGTCGGGGACTCGAACTGTGGTCGACTACGGGGGAGTCCAGCGACATAGCCATTACGCTAACTGCTGGTTCCCCAGGCAAGTTAAGTTTGTAAGTTCTCTTTGCCTGTTTTTTCATTTGTAAAATAGAGATGATAAGAGTACCAGCTCAATCTGTTGTAAAGAATAAAATGATAGGAACAAGCCTGTGGCATAGTGGTTAAGGTGGCTGAATCCTACATGGCCAATTGTGTGATTCGAGTCCTGGACCCGGCAGCTTGAAAAACATGCTTTGTGCCTGTGCGCGCCTGCCCCAAATCCTGAAAGTAGAGAGAGAGATTGAGGAAAAGGGATTGTAGTGTTACCATCAAGGGATGCTTTCCTCGCTCCCTCTCTCTTTGTCTCTCCAGTGAACACCCTCTGAAAAATAAAAAGATTATAAAATGATGATTAGATAATTTTAAAAAGTTTTAAGGTTAAGGCAAAAGTGGAACCCAAGATCACTGTGCTTTTTCTCTTTTCTCAAATTAAATGTATGAGAACAATAGCTGGGAGGAATAGGTTCAAGGCTGAGGCCCATTCCCAGGGCCAGAGGCATGCCTTTAGGATGGCCCAAGGATTGTTGTGGAGATGCTTGAGACAATTGATTCAAGCTGGAGGCAGCTAGTTATCTGCCCACATCTAACTCATGCAGATACTTGATGCTCTGGAAGATTTGCCCATCAGTATTTCTCAGCCTCTCCCATCTGTTCCCTTTCCTCTCCCCTGCAGATCTGGGTGAGGAAGACAAGCGACAGCACCAAGATGCGGATTTACCTGGGCCAGTTGCAGCGCGGGCTATTTGTGATCCGCCGGCGGTCAGCGGCTTGACTCTGCAGTGTTCTTCCTGTGACCCTTTTTCTGGAGTGATTTTTATTTTTGTTTTGTTTTCTTAACAGAACATTTTTAACTCACTGGGAATAGCTCCTTGGCCATGGAAATGGAGAACACTGGTGTGGATTCTGCAATGCACTTTTTGACTGGTCACTTCCATCTTATGTCATTCTTTCCTTCCTCAACTTCCATACATCAGTCACCACAGGACTGTTTTATTTTTAGGAGGACTAGGGTTTGACATATTTTCCTTTTTATCTGTTTAGTTTTTGCCTACACTTAGTCTTTTTCTTTTTTCCTTTTAAACCTCTTTTGAGTTTGGAGAGAGAGCTCCCTCTCTATCTCTTTTTTCTTTATTTTTTAAATTATCCTTAGGTCTTTTTACTATGAAGAAGAGTAGGAAAAGATACACTGTACAGTGCATTTTCATGTTTCGAATCTGATTAGTGAATCACGAAGCTGCTTTCCTTGTCAAACCAAATTCACCGTTTCCCCAGAAGCTTGGGGCAGAGGTCCCAGCAGAAGGAGATTAATTCTCCTGGCTCTCAGCCTTCTCAGAGAAATAAATGCCTTGTGTAACATCTGGCGCATGCCATCCATTCCACTGGCCGAATGGCGGAAAAATTTGCCTGGGAGACTTTGTGCACTGAAGTAAATGGGGCTAGGAGGAGGGGACATTTCATATTCATAATGTGCTGAAGTTCTTATCTTTTAAATGTTATTTACTGCAGGTGATTTATTCAGACACATTTGTTCTAGTTCAAGCTGGAACAGGAAGTGCTTATTTCAGAAGTTTTCCTTTGTAATTCCTTTCTCTCCCCTGTTCCCAAGTAGAGGAAGCAGTACAGGCAACAGGCTGATTATTATCTGGGTTATCTTTTATAAGTGGGGAGGTGATTGATAGTGCAATAACTAGTGATCTATAGACTTTCACAGATTTCACTCTCATTGCCGAAGCCATTCTGGCCATTCCAGACCTGTGGGATTTTGTCGTCAGGCTCTGGGCACATATACAGCCTCCCAGGATAAAAAGGAGGACACTGCTGTGGCTGCTTCTAACCCTATGCTCTTCCAAATGAATCCCAATGGAGCCAGTGTCCCTACACCCCTGCGCCTTCCCCTCATTCTCATGACTGGAGAAATGGTTCACTGAGTGATGGGTAATGGAGTTTTTTTGAACCATCGCAAATTGCCATCTTGAGATGTTTAAGGAATTTGGAGTTGGAGCAGCTTTTTAAATCTCTGAGCAGTCGGTAGACCTTACATCCTAGGACGTCTTTGTAAGTGGTCCCGTGATTTCACGTAACTCTTTTGTGGCATCTCTTGATGTGTATACCCTAAAGTGAGGTGGGAGCTTTGATGGCAAATCCAAAGGAGAATCCCCTTCTCTTCCATTCTGGCTTCCACAGAGACCAAACCATAACTGACTCAGCATAAAGACTTGTACAGATATATTTTTCTTTTAATTTATAATCCTTTTTTATTTTTTTTTCTGGTATTTGAGTCTTATTTAGAAAACAGGATAAATGATGCTGTTTATTAAAAGTTGCCTGTGCATTCTGTTTTTACTTTTTGCCTTCCACCTCCCCTGTAATGATGTTACTCTCATGAATCAAATCCATGGTAAACAGACTTCACCTTTTGTTTGTTCTGATGGCCGTTTCTGTGAGGGAGGGCCTCGCAGGCTGGAACCACACTGTGGTACGTGTGACATCGTGTATCAGGTAATGCCCTGTGATGGACATTGATTTAGATACATACATGTAGTATTTTTTTGTCCTTGAAGGTTTTGTTTTTTTTGTTTTGTTTTTTAAAGGATCCTTTTCCTTTTCCTCCTAACAGCTCGCCAAGGTTTGTTTTTATAGGAAAGGGGTGCGTCTAACCCCTGGGGGCTCCACACCACAGCAGCAGCACATTGCCTTTTTTCCTTGCCTTATCTGTTGGCACCTTTGTGCTTTTGTGAAGTAATTATTTATTTGAAGACCAGGGTGTGCTGCTTTTGCCTTCTCTCTTCTGTAACTTTTGAGGGTATTTGAGGCTGTCTTTGGACATGGTCTCAACTCTATTGCTGCCCTCTCCTCAGTGTCCTCAGAATCCATAATCATGAGCTAGTGAGTACAGGAGAACATGCAAAGTAGACTCAGGACACTGCAGAATAAATTATATTCTTTGTTCCAGGAGATTTAATTTTTTTGCTTGGTCACCCCAGAGGTGTAAAAAAAAAAAAAAATCAGCAGTTGAGCCACTCTGACAGGCCTCTGTGGTGACCAAGGTAGAGGCAGCCTTCTTGGTAGTCAGTGGAGGTGCTTCTGTTTTAGACAGGGCTGTGGGTTGGGGAGGGGCAGACTTTGAGATTCCTAGAATGAGAGTAGGACAGCTTTTAGCCTAGGTGGCCATTTGGATTCCAACAGGTCTTTGACTCTCACTAGATCCCAGGGTACCAGCTGAGTTCTCAAATATAGATGATTTCTTCCAAGTGATCCTTTGAAAAGGTAGGTCCAGACAGTTTTGATCAAGGACCTGCTTACGTATTATGTTAGAGGCATCTGCCTCAAGGGATTTGTATACAGTGTTGGCTGTGGGCATGTCCCAATATTTATTTTACCTCTGCTTGGGGTTTTTTTTAGTGTGTGCCCTTTTCCCATTCACCCCTTTCTCCCCAAGCCAATATCCTCTTAAATAACTTCCAAATAGATTTTTGTAGTCATACCAAAGCCAGGATGTTTTCATTCATTTGGATACCAGACATTTAGGATGTCTAACTACCTAACTTCAGCTTTTCTTTTTAAACTTCTAACTGAGGCTCGATCCCAGAGTTTGATTTGCAAGTCAGGCTGCATTTGTACAGGACTGGGTGACTTTTCTAAGAGAAATATGGGGGGCCTGAGGGAGGTGAGGCAGGGTCAACTGCATTTTTTTTTTTTTTTCGTTTGTTTGTTTTAATCGAAGGGTTGGGGAATCTTATTTTTTAAAGTATGTTTTGTTTTTAATATTTCTTTTTCAGCTTGAATTTTTACTAAATAATTTCCTTCTGATCTAAAGATTTTGTTGCTCATCTGGGACTTCACAGTCTTGGTACTTACTATTATGCCAGTTTTTCCAAAGAGCTCAAACATTTGAGTACCAGGACATAGTAAATTTGCAGCCATTTCAAGCAGCTGGTGGGCTTTTTTCTACAACATCGTTCATTGGTACCATTAAAGATCCTGAGAGGTGAATGTAAAATGTAAAAAGTACAGTTTTTTGTTTTGTTTTTTAATAAACTTTCAAAGAGAAACCTACCATGTAGTATGTGTCATATTCATTGACTTGGTAAATTATTGGAATTTATTTTAGGTTTTAGATCTGTTGATCATAGGGAAAAGAAATCTAGTAAGAGGAAAAGAGAGACTTTTGCTCATTTTCAGTGAAGAAAATACAGAATGATGCCAGAAAGGTGCACACTCCGTTTTGTGAAGAACGGTCTAGGGGTGTTGACCCTTATATGTAGTGTACTTTCTTCTTACTTGTTAGAGATGATAAAATAATTTAAAAAGTAAGTAAATAAAATTGATTTTAGGTGGAAAAATCTTGAAGTAAACTGATGACTGAGGATGTTCATTTGGTACATGATTGAGTAGGATACTGTTCTTTCAGTTCTTGGGGCAGGGTCTACTGATCTTAACCAAAAAGTGATTGAGTTTACACTGTCCCTGGGGTCAGCTGACAAGGCTTCATGGTGCCACAGGTGACCAGTGTGGCATACCCACTATTGAGGGGGTTAGGGGAGCTGCTCTATGCCTTTGATAATGGGAAGGGGCAGTCCCTATATTAAAACATTTTTTTACTGTAATGGCAGTCATATAGAAAAGTACATAGATCTTAATTGTAGAAGTTGTTGGGGCCAGCAGTGACAAGGTGGTTAAGTCGCTGGACTCCCACATGGCTGACCATGGTTTGAGTCCTGGACCTGGTGGTTTACTTTCTCACGTTCTCTCTCTTTGGTCAAATTAAAAATATAATAAAATTAAATAATTAAAAAAATTTTCTCAAGAGGAACTCATTGGTGTAACTGGCATCCACATCAAGAAATGACCTTACCAGGACTCGAAAGCATCTTAGGTTTTCTTCCAATTATTCCTCCAGCTAGTTTTCTTTATTTTGATTACCTTAACCCTCAAGCTCTCAAGGCTGGTCTTTGTTCTAGAAGAGCCAGGTGCTTGGTACAGGCCAGAGACTGCCCAAGGAGTTGAGAACTGTCAACAAAGGAGGTGGCTAAATGGAGAGGGGAAAAACAGATTCAGGTCAACTGACTTACCAAGGCTAGTGGGGCTTGTCCTCAATGTCAATAGTACCTGCCTTTTTTTTTAATGATTATTTTGTCTATGTCAAGCACTATACTAACCTCTTCATGGGAGGCATTTTCTCATTTAATCTTCACAATCATCTATGAAAGTATTAGTACTCTCAGATTTAAGGCTGCTTATTTATTCAGTGAGTAACAACATTTCAGTCAGCCATAGACCATATATACAACAGTGGCACCATGGGGTTATAATGGAGCTGAAATAGCCCTATCATGTACCAAGAGGCTGCCTTGACACAGTGCAACACAGAATTCATGTCTGGTGATGTTGGTATAAAACCTGCACTGCCAGTTGTGTAAAAGTATAGCACATACAGTTCTGTACAGTGCATAATACTTGATAATGACTTACTGGCTTTTGTATTTAAGTATTATTTAATTATAGAATTATTTAATTCCATTTGTTATAATTAACATTTTTAAAATTTGACCAGAGAGAGAGAAAGGGAAAGCAAGGAAGCAAACTGCCATGTCCGGGACCTGAACCCTGAATGGCCATGTGGAAATCCAGCACCCTTAACCACCATACCACCTGCTGGCCCCTGTATTTACGTTTTTATCAACATTTTAGTGCATACTTCTTAGACAAAGTATAAGGAGTATAAGGACTGTAAAACGGGGTGCAGTGTTAGGCAGACAGCCTTATACGTCGCCCGTTGCGGCATCTGTCGATGGTATCGTTGTCTCTCGTGCTTGATTTAGTCTCATGTTGTCTTGTTCAGCCCGGCCCTTAAGTGGTAGGCTGTACCAGGTAGCCTAGGTGTGTAGTAGGCTACCATTTAGGTCTGTGTATGCACACTCTGATGTTCATACAATGATGAGTTCACCTAACAATGTTCTGCTCAGAATGTATCCTCTTGTTAAGCAACACAGACAATCCTTGATTTAATTCTAGGAAGCCAGAAGCTCGGCACCGTGCCTTGTATGTAGTAAGTGCTCGGTAAATGTTAACTGTCAAATACTGTTACTGTAAAAGGACGTGCAGAGCAAACTGGTTAACAGCAGCACATGTCCCGGGTGCCATGCCCTTCACTTCCATTATCTCGTTTAAGCCTCCTTACAACCCTAAGGAGAATACACTGTTGCTCTCACTAGTTTGCAGAGAAGGAAACTGAAAATGGACCGAGACTCCCACAGTCGTAGGAGATGGCCCAGTGACTTCTCCAAGGGCATGTAGTAAGTAGCAGAGCGGATCTTCAGGTTCCAAGCCAGATTTCCTAACCACTGCACTTTCCATGTTAAAATCACATCTAATATTTCCAACTTTCCTGTCTATTTCCTTGGGCATTTTTTTTTTTTTTGAGAGGTTTTCGCTATAGGGTGCGTGCGCTTGCCAGACAGACAGAGAGAGACGTAGAGACAGAAAGCGAGAAATCACCCCCCAGGGGGGATGGTCACGCCGCAATCCCTTCTCCTCCATTCTCCTCGGGATCTTGGGCACGCACGCACACGCACCCTGCGTGAGTTTTAAGCCACCGGGTCTGGGACGCGAACCGTGGTCGACTACGTGGGAGTCCAGCGACATAGCCATTACGCTAACTGCTGGTTCCCGACATTTTGTTTTGTTTTAATCTGCTTTCACCTCTTATATGCATATTTGAGAAGCAATCACTAGGATCCTGTCTCCCTGCTGAATCACTCTGGTTTTCTCCCTTGGCAATATAGTTACAGCCAAGGGGTTGCTTTCCATTCATAGTGCTTGACTACAACCCTTCTGAAAAGGGAGGAGCTTAGAATGTAAGCAGTTATTTGGTCTTGATGGGCCCTTCTTTAGCCAACATGATTGCCTTTTGTTCCAGATCATTTTCTTCTGGCTTTGTGAGCTGTAGAGTAAGGAGGGAGGGATGGGAGCCACTGAACTGGTTTTAAAACTGTAGACGGAGAACTGGACATCCACAGCTGGATGCTCTCCGATGTCAGTGGTCCTTTTTACATCATATCCTTCTGTGGAGGCACCAGTGCGGAAGAATACATCAGTCCCATGTCACCTGCTTCAGACTGCTCCATTGCAGTTGTGATGTGTTTAACAGCCAAACCCAGGCTTTGTAGTTTTTGGGCAGAGGCAGGAATGAAGCCAATTTCTGGTCTTTGTCACTATTGTTAGAGGCTCTCCAAGCGCCATCCCTGGTCAGGTTGAGCAATTTTCCTGCTTTTACAAAGGAAGCACTAGATGGAATGAACTAGAAACACAAGCACCATTTCTCTTTCTGGACATGTTATCATGGCGAGGAATACATGAGCTGTAGGAGCTTTGGTATTTACCAGGACAGATATTTTTATGACTAATTATTAAGACAAAAAGATATGCATGTTTAGGAGGATCCCCAGAGGAGAGAGGTAGATAAGATAAAGCATAGGTTCCCAGATGCTTAATCCCTTCACTCGTTTCCTCTAATCTGCGTTTGCTCTATTCCCTGAAAGATACAGATCTAGAAAATAGCATTCTCTTTACTGATATGGAAAGAGCAATAACCAGAATCTTAAAAGATTCTTTTCCTCATTTCTCAGAAGTTGGAGACTCAGCAGCGTATTTTGTTTTTCTGTAGGCTGATGCTCAACCTATTGGCATCACCACTGTGTGCCTGTGTGGATGGGCAAGGGGTTAAGAGCAGAGTAGGTGGTGTTCCAGAGCCAGCTAGGAAGGCAAGGCCCCAGGGCTGGGGACTCAGCAATGCCAGGTAGGGAACAAGCAGATACTGAAGATAGGAGTTAATGGACTCCAGGTTAACAAGTCTCTGCAAATAACCAAGAGTCACTTTTATTTCACCCCTGAGTCTTTATTTGTGTGCGTGTGTGTGTGTGTATGTTTTAAGATTTATTTAATTATGTTTATAATCATCTTTTTATTTTTATTTTTTAACAAGAGTGAGAGTGAGCACGTGAGAGAGAGAAAGCAAGCCACCAGGTCCTGGGCTTGAACCACAATTGGCCATGTGGAGGCCAGCACCTTAACCACTATACCTGCTGGCCCCAACCTTTGATTTTTTTTTTTTTTTAATAAATGTCTGAGTGTTTACTGGGATGTAGTATGGCATTATGGCAAAGAACAAAGGTTTTGGAATGAGAATTTGAATCTGGCTTTGCCACTTAAGTAGCTTGGTGTGACCTTGGGTAACCTAATCTCTACAAACCTCTGTTTCCTCAGTTGTTAAACGATGTGAAGAGACTTGAAAAAGCTTGTGGAAAAATAGCATTTAAGTACAGGCTTATTTGGGTGCAAAAAATATTGAATTGCATGCATAGTTTTCTCATAATACATGTATTCTATAAACCTTTTGAAGATTCCTCCTATCTACCTCGGAGGTGTTGTGGAGGATTCCAGTAATTTTAACACATATATTGATAGAGTGCTAAGTATTTCATACAAATTAACTCATTGAGTCCTTATAACAACCCTGTGTTTTTGTAGTTTTTAACCCTATTATTTTGTAGTTTAGGAAATCAAAAAACGGATTAAGCATCTTGCCCAAAGTCATACAGTAACTAGTAAATGGCATGCAGGGAAGGATTCAGAGCCCAGGTGGTCTCCCCTGACTCCTTGCGTCATTCACCAGGCTGTCCTGTAAGGTATACAAAGCACAGGGTTGGACACAGTAACTGCCCATGTGAAGACAGGTCCTACCATTGTGATTGCTGTTGCCATTTGTCCACTTTCTGTCTTTGGATGTTAGTTTGAGTACTACTTGCTGAGAGACCAGAGCAATTTCAGGAAGCTAGTTGCACCGCCAGACTCCGAAGGTAAAGCTGCTGGCTTTAGAGCTCAGGCTAAGCATCAGCTCCTATTGGTGGATTGTGATTGTCCAATATGCAAGAGATGAGAAGGACTAGAGGCCAAGCTTGGGCAGAGCAGGATAGAGACACCTAATCAATTCATTTTGTCTGCTGTGGACTAGAGACTCCATTTTTTTTTCTTTCTGCTTTCCACCAAAATC